CTTTTTTCTTTTTGCTTATGTGGTGCTGAGGAATCGAACCCAGGGCCTCAGGCATGCAAGGCAAGCGCTTTACCACTGAGCCATCTTCCCAGCCCCAGGCTGGTTTTTGAACTGCCTGGATCTCAACCTCCTGAGTAGCTAGGATTACAGGCATGAGCAACCAGCGCCCGGCTATTTTGATTCTTGATTACATGTTTTCCCTTCCTTTCCCATGTTGTTTTTCTCTGAATTATGTAATTAAGTCTTCAAAATAGATGAAGCAAAAATGGGAAGAACTGGGGCTGGGAAGGTGGCTCAGTGGTAGAGTGCTTGCCTTGCATGTATGAGGCACTGAGTTCGATTCCTCAGCACCAAATAAGAAAAAAAAAAGCTGCAAAAATTGGAAGAACTAAAGGGAAGTAATAGATACACAGTCACAATTGTTTCTTCTTTTTCCTTTTTTTTTTTTTGCATACTGGGGTTTGAACTCATAGCCTCAGGCTTTCTGGCATTCTACCGCTTGAGCAATACCTGTAGCTCAGCTTTATGCTGATAATTTTGTTTTTTGGTTTTTTTGGGGGGGTCCAGTTGTGGGGCCTGAACTCTGGGCCTGGGCGCTGTCCCTCAGCTCTTCAGCTCAAGGCTAGCTCTCTACCACTTGAGCCACAGCGCCACTTCCGGCTTTTTTTCTTTTTGCTTATGTGGTACTGGGGAATCGAACCCAGGGCCTCATGCATTCAAGGCAAGCGCTCTACCACTGAGCCATCTTCCCAGCCTGCTGATTATTTTGGAATGGTGGTTCATGGACTTTTCTGCACAAGCTAGCCTCAAACTACTTTTTCTAGATCTCACCATCCTTAGTAGTTAGGATCACAGACATGAGGCACAGGTACCTGGCTATAATTAGAAGTCTTAATACTCTTTCAGTAATTGACTAAATGACTAGACAGAGATGTCACCAAGGCTGGGTACTCAGCCTGGATAAAAAAAGTCCCTGAGACTCTTATCTCCAATTAACCACTTGGAAGTAGAGCTATCTGTCATTTCATGTTTTTGTGTTTTGTTTTTGTTTTGTTTTGTTTTTTTGCCAGGCCTGGGCACTGTTCCTGAGCTGCTTTTGCTCATGGCTAGCACTCTACCACTTGAGCCACAACACCACTTCTGGTGGTACTTATGTGGTACTGAGGAATTGAACCAGGGCTTCATGCATACTAGGAAAGCATTCCACCACTAGACCAAATTCCCAGCCCTAGAGCTGTCATTTCAAACCCCAGAACTGGCATTAAAACCAACACAACAATGACAACCCTCTGCTGGGCACCTGAAGCAGTGGCTTATGCCTGTAATCCTAGCTACTCAGGAGGCCTAGATTTGAGGATTGCTATTTGAAGCCAGCCTGGGTAGGAAAGTCCAGGAGACTCTTACTTTCCAATAAACTACTCAAAAGAAAAAAAATTTAAAAAGCTCGGTGACAGTGCCTAGACACTTGATTTGAGCGCCAGGACCAGCGCGCACTCACACGCAAGTGCACACACACACAAAGGCCCACCATTCTGCCATTCTGGGGAGGCGGGGGAGTTATGAATAATCAGTATGATCAGCATGAGGATGGGGTTATCATTCAAGAGCCTATTGGTATTATTGAAAGGAGAACAAGACAGTGCTATGCTGGATACCAGCTCAAGCCTGTAATCCTAGCTACTTCAGAGGCAGTAATTTGAGGATCATGGTTCAGAACCAGCCCTGTCCATGAGACTTTTATTCTCAGCCAGCAAAAACCTGTAAGTGAAACTGGCTTAAGTGGTAGAGTGAAACCTTGAGAGAAAAAGCTAAGGGACAGCATCCAAGACCCAGTAACAGCACGAAAAAGGACAGTTTTATGGACAATTTTACAGTGAAATTAAACAGAAAAAATAGACAAATTCCTTAAGGAACATAATTATAATACCTTCAGAGATGATTACTTTTGAATTTTGAACATAGAAGGGACATTTCTCCCTTGGTTCTCAAATAGAATCATTGTCTCTCTGCGTAATTCCTATATCCCAGGTAGTGTTGTTTCCTATAACTAAAGTTCTTACTGTTGCTTACTCCAGGCTTAGGCTTTTTTTCTATTTATAATAATGTTTTTCATGTTCTTGTTTTAAGAAGATATTGTTTCTGGGTGCAGTAGCTCACATCTATAACCTTAGCTATTCTGTAGGCTGAGGATTGTAGTTTGAAGCCAGGCCAGGCAGGAAAGTCCATGAGACTTTTTTTGTTGTTGTTGGTCATGGGCCTTGTACTCTGGGCTTGGACACGGTTCCTTGAACTCTTCAGCTCAAGGCTAGCACTCTACCACTTGAGCCACTGCGCCACTTCCAATTTTCTGGTTGTTAATTGGAGATAAGAGTCTCATGGACTTTCTTGCCTGGGCTGGCTTTGAACTGCAACCCTCAGATTTCAGCCTCTTAAGTAGCTAGGATTATAGGCTTGAGTCACCAGCGCCCAGCTCTATGAGACTCTTATCTTCAATAAGTCACCAAAAAGTCAAAAGTGGAGCTGTGTCTCAAGTGGTAGAGCATCCAGCCTTGAGTGAAAAAGCTAAGGGACAGCACCCAGGTCTTGAGTTAAGCTCTGGTACCAGCATAAGATGGGAGGGGGGCAAGGGGGCGAGCAAGCAAGCACTTAATGCAGCCTCTCAACTACTGGGATTGTAGGTTTGTACTACTATGCCCAACTCAACACACTTGCAGAAGAAAAAAATCTTAACCACTAACCGATTATATAAAATTTATCAAAGAGAATTCTTTTGCCCCTAACCTAGAGAGATTATACAGTTTAGATATTGAAGCAGATTAAATGATTAAAAACTAACCTGGATTATTTGTTTTTTTTTAGTCACCTTGGTTCTGGGATACCCGACAGTGCTGGCATAGCTATCCATATCAGGTAGGAGTTGAATTATTTAATGATGGGGTTGTATGTGTATATGGCAGGGTGGTTGAGACACGTTTCTTTGATGTTCTTGAGCTTTTTATTCCTAGTTCCCCATTATATGTACCCTAATTGTGCTAGAGAGATGAGCAGTTTGCTGGCATTTAGAAAGTACTTCCTGGCTATGTTCCCTTGTGTCAAGAGCTACTTGGAATCTCCTGAAGAGCGTGTACTAGAATAATGCCCGCCCGGCCCCGTGGCTCACGCCTGCAATCCTAGCTACTCAGGAGGCTGAGACCTGAGGATTGTGGCTCAGAGACAGCCTGGGGAAGAAGATCTGTGAGTCTCTTTATCTCCAATTAACCACCAAAAGGCTAGAAATGGGAATGTAGCTCAAAGTAATAGAGTGTTCGTCTTGAGCAAAGAAGCTCAGGGACAGTGCCCATGCCCAGAGTTCAAGCCCCAGGACTGGCACAAAAAAAAAAAACAACAAAGCAAGAAGCGAGGTATAGCTTAAGTGGTAGAATCCTAGCCTTGAGGGAACAGCCAAGCGAAAGCACAAGACTTTGAGCTCAAGCCCCATTACTGGCACCAAAAAAAAAAAAAAAAGGATGAAAAATATCAGAGAAATACTAAAGTAGTAGAAGAAGGAAAGGCCTGAGTATATTTTAACTGTCCAGAATTATAGGCCCACTGATTTGTGTTTTAAAATGTGTTAACTTTGGCTAGGAATGTGGCTTAGTAAGAGTGCTTGCCTCGCATACATGAAGCCCTGGGTTCAATTCCTGAGTACCACACCCAAAGAAACAGCTGGAAGTGGCATTGTGGCTCAAGTGGTAGAGTGCTAGTCTTGAGCAAAAGAGGCTCAGGGACAGTGCCCAGGCCCTGAGTTCAAGCCCCAGGACTAATAAAACAAACAATAAAACGTGTTAACTTTATCTCATTATTAAAAGATGAGAACTAAGTTAAGTGTTTAGTTAAGAGTTGGGCTGGGAAGGTGGCTCAGTGGTAGAGCACTTGCCTTGCATGCCTGAGGCCCTGGGTTCGATTCCTCAGCACCACATAAGCAAAAAGAAAAAAAGCTGGAAGTGGCACTGTGGCTCAAGTGGTAGAGCGCTAGCCTTGAGCTGAAGAGCTGAGGGACAGTGCCCAGGCCCAGAGTTCAGGCCCCAGGACCGGACCCAAAAATTAAAATTAAAAAAAAAAAAGTCAATGACTGTGAGTTGTAGATTTTGCATAGCCTGAGGGAATCAACCACCTACTACTATCCTCCATGTGCCTGAAGATCTTATTCATTCCTAAGATTATAGTGCAATGGCTGTCCCAGTTGTGTGATACCCTACATAGTAGAAGAGTTTCATATTGTGAAATATTAAATCAGTTTCTAAGACCCATATCTCTTCCCCTTCTCCCTAAGGTTCCTCCCTGTCCTATGGGCTCCTTCCTTTATTCTTTTTACAGTATGGATGATTTTCCTGGAATTTCAGCTAACAAAGTATGGAGAAGAAACACATAGGATTCTACATCCCAGAGAACTCAGCTTTATCCTTTTCTGCCTAGTTTTGATTCTAGAATCTTAACTTTTTTTGCTTCCCTCTTCTAGGATTCTGAACACAACCCTATTTGAGAGTTGGGAGATAATTGGGCCCTATCCTTCCTGGTGGTTCTTCAATGGCCTTCTCCTGGTCTTACAAGTTCTGCATATCATCTGGTCATACCTGATTGCACAAATTGCTCTCAAAGCCTTGATCCGGGGAAAGGTGAGAAAGAACGAAGGCTTCTTTGGTCTGTGTGGACAGATGGGTTCTCTCTCTCTCTCTCTCTCTCCCCTCTCCCACTCCCTCTCTCCTTTCTCCTTCTCCCTCCCTCTCTCCCCCTCCCTCCCCCTTTTTTTCTTCTCCCCTCCCTCCCTCCCTGTCTCTTCGCCCCCCTCTCTCCTCCTTCCTTTGCCCTTCCTCTATCTCTCCCTTTTCTTCTTCTCCCCCTACCTCCCCACCTCACTTTTTGGTGTGATGAGCCCCAACTACATAAGTAAGCTTGGAGCTGAATAGTTTTTACCTTGACTGTGAATATTTAGCCTCTTAATATATATATGACTTAGTTGGAAAAGGAGGAGTCTAGTACCTTTTAGTCCCTTAAGTGTGATTATTAAGCCAGACGCTGGTAGCTCAGGCCTGTAATCCAAACTACTAAGGAGGCTGAGATCTGAGGATTGTGGTTCAAAGCCAGCCAGGGCAGAAAAGTCCCTGTGAGACTCCTATCTTCAATTAGCCAGTCAAAAAACAGAAGTAGCACTGTGGCTTAGGTAGTACTATGCTAGCCTTAATCACAGAGAGGCTCAGCAACAGTTCCCAGGCCCTGAATTCAAGCCCCACAACTGACCCCCAAAAAAGAGTGACTATTAAATGAGTAGAGTAAGACTGGGAAAGTGACTCAGTGGTAGAGTGCTGGCCTAGCATGCATGAAGCCCTGGGTTTGAATCCTCAGTACCACATGAACCGAAAAAGCCAGAAGTGGTGCTGTGGCTCAAGTGGTAGAATGCTAGCCTTGAGAGAAAGCAGCTCAGAGACAATGCCCAGCCCCTGAGTTTAAAGCCCCAGGACTGGCCATCAATCAATAAATGAGTAGGGTTAAGAGTAACAAATAACTTCAACTATTTCCTACCCCTTATCTGTCTACTTCAGTGGACCTCATCTTTTTAGTTTTAACATGGAGCCTTTTTTCCCCAAAGGAAATCAATCATATGTAGAGTCCCAATGTATAAACTTAAAGCATATTATAGTTGGATTGCCTGGAAGTGTATGGCAGTTCACAAGCTATTTCAAGGTTTTCATACTGCAATATTCATACTGCAGTATGGCTTCTATGAGTAATTAAGTTAAGTGCCCACCTCACCCCACTGTTACATGAGGCAAGAGTCTTAAGTAAATGGGTGATTAGCATTTCTACCTGTTGATCTTAGGCCAAGAGCTCCAAAACATGAAAGGAAGTGCTTTCTCTTTTTGGTGGGATGCTTACATGCTTACATGTAAGCACCAGCCCTGAAAGGTGCTAATTATAAGGCTTAAAATTGAAAATTTCAAGTTTTAAAGCAATCAGATTGTGAAGAGCCTTCAGATGGGATGGGCTCTACTGGAGGGGTTTCTAGACCAAGCAGATGGAATATAACCTAGATGTTTATGATCTCTGTAACATTGTTCTTTATGGCTACCATTAGTTTCAGAACTTTCTCAGTGTGCCTGTGCATCCTGTTCTCCCCTGCTTTTCTTTCCTGACCAGGTGACCTACCCGGGAAGAATCAGGCCCAGACTCTGTACTCTCCATTCTTTTCTCACCTCCTTCCTTTTTTCTATGCCTGGTGAGAGCTGGACAGTTTCATCTCTTGCATGTAAGTGTATCTGTACTTCTCGTGTTCCTGGAAGCATGTCTGCCCGAGTGTTTGTCTTTCTTCCTGCTGTCCTTTCTGTTCCCCTTGTTTGTTTCAGAGCAAGCCCTTTTTCCTGATCCAGAGGGACTATTGATGGGAGCTGAAGTTGCGAGAGTTAACTCTGCTTTAATTGTAAAATCTTTTTTAAAAATTTTGCATTTGAGCCTTCCTAACCTCAAATGTAAAGACATTCTGCCCTCTGGTGGAACTTTCCCAAAGTTCAGGTAATCAATTCATCTGGTTTCTGGAGGTATTTAATATGCTTAATATGCAGGAAAGTTTGGACTGTTCTTAGGCTAGGAATGTGGCTCGGTGGTAGAGTGCTTGCTTAGCATGCATGAAGCCCTGGGTTTGATTCTTCATACCACATAAACAGAAAAAGCTGAAAGTGGTGTCATGGCTCAAGTGGTAGAGTGCTAACCTTGAGCTGAAGAGCTCAGGAACAGCACCAAGGCCCAGAGTTCAAGCCTCATGGCCAACAAAAAAAAGAAAGAAAGAAAATATTGTTCTCTGCTGGGCACTGATGGTTCATGCCTGTAATTCTAGCTACTCAGGCGGCTGAGATCTGAGGATTGCAGTTCAAAGCCAGCTTGGGCAAAGTCCATGAGATCCTTGTCTCCAATTAACCACCAGAAAACCAGAAGTGGTGCTGTGGCTCAAGTGGTAGAACACTAATCTTGAGCTGAAGAGCTCAGGGACAGCACCCAAGCCCAGAGTTCAAGCCCCATGACTGACCGAAAAAGAAAAGAAAAGCTAATGATTCACAGATGGTAGAGTGATTGCAGCTGGGATTCTATTCTTACTGACAATCTTATTATTCTTTTTACTATATTATGTGTCTTGGGTGTGCTAAAGTTTCAAAAGAGAAGTAATCTATTGGAAGAGGAGCTTAGGAAATAATGTCATAGTTATACTGGGAATAGTAATATTACTGAAAAGGACCCATTATGGATCAGCTTTGAGGACAAAGCAAAACTGAGGATAACCAATACGAATGAATGTTGCATCCACAACCACCACAAGTTAGAATTAAAAACGACAGTCTCTTTGTTGCTTGTGTTTGCCTTCTTTGTTCTTTGAGGTGGAGAAGGAAAAGAGTAACTGGAGTTTTCTTTAAACCTAAACTAGGATTCAGTGAATGGTATAACTTCTCTTAGGCTAGATCTGAAAAACACACCCATCCTCCAATGCAGATTCTAATGATACAAAAACAAAATCAGATGGGCTGGGCGCTGGTGGCTCACGCCTGTAATCCTAGCTACTCAGGAGGCTGAGATCTGAGGATCGTGGTTCAAAGCCAGCCTGGGCAGGAAAGACCATGAGACTCTTGTCTCCAATAAACCACCAGAAAACCAGAAGTGGCTTTGTAGCGGTAGAGCGCTCGCCTTGAGCTGAAGAGCTGAGGGACATCGCCCAGGCCCAGAGTTCAAGCCCCACGACTGACAAAAACAAAACAAAATCAGAGATAGAAAAACAAAGCTAGCAAAGGATGTTCACAACAACAGCCCTGTTGTTCCAGTGGCAACTTTCCAGTTGTCACTGGAAAGTGTACTATAGTGAAAACAATGCACAAATATGAGCTCTGTGAGTTTAGTCTGCCCTATGATTCTTTCAAGAAAAGTTCAGGGGGCTGGGAAGGTGGCTCAGTGGTAGAGCACTTGCCTTGCATGCATGAAGCCCTGGGTTTGATTCCTCAGCACCACATAAAAAAAGAAAAAAGCTGGAAGTGGTGCTATGGCTCAAGTGGTACAGCGCTAGCCTTGAGCTGAAGAGCTGAGGGACAGCACCCAGGCCTAGAGTTCAGGCCCCACGACCGGACCCCCCCCAAAAAAAGAAAGAAAAAGAAAAGTTCTGTATTCACTTTCCTGCCTTTGGTCCCAACCTACCCAGGTGTCTAAGGACGATCGCAGTGATGTGGAAAGCAGCTCAGAGGAAGAAGATGAGGCCAAGAACACAAAAGACCTCTCTGGAAGCAACTCTGGCAGTGGTGCCAATTGTGTGAATGGCCACCTTGGGGATGGGTACTGGGCTGAAGAGTAAGGGGCATGGGAACTTGAGCACACATGGACTGGCAGGGCTGCTCCTACTCCTGGGGCCTCCCCGCAGCTGCCCTCCTGTGAATAGAGGGACAGTGAGGCACCAAAGAAACAAATACTTTTTTTTACCTGTCATTTTGTATTTAATGCCCTCCAAGTCCTTTCAGTAATGTTATTTGCTCTTCGTGTGTGTTTGTGTATGCGTTTACGCATGTGCTCTGTGCATATGCATGGGTGTTATCGCCTAGGTTGTGACACAGCTGTGGACTGAGGCCACTAGGCCATGCCTGGTCTCTTTTGAATCCACTAGCCAAATTCCAGAGTCCTCCCTTGTGGCCTGTGGCTTTTGAGATTGATTTCCTGGACCATCTGAATGAAGCACACAGGTTCAGCTCTAAGTTTCTATACTGTTCCTCTTTTGGTACAGGAAGGGATATTTCACATTGTCAAGCTGTTTAAAAACAGAACCTTGGATGGGTGGCCAGGATCCTTGTGGTCCCTAGCTAGACTCTTTCTACCACCTATGATGGTGACAGGGACAACTGCTTATACCCTGTTCTTTACTCAATGGTACACAGGGAGGGGGTATGTAAGGATAAGCTGAGGGCCAGAGTACAACAGCCACTGGGTGAGCTGTTAACGGTTTTATACTATTGTTTACTCTTCTGTGATTAAAGTGCTTCAACCCTCCTATACCATCTGTGCCTCTTTATAGTGACTCTATCACTAACTTCCTGAAGTCATAAAATAATGAAAGTTTTTGTTGTATTTTGTTTTCTAGAGACAAGGTAGGTCTTCTATGTCTTCCTGGTTGGCCTTGACTTTACAGTCATCCCACCTCAGCCTCTGAGTGCTGGGATTATAGACATCATCCCTAATTAAGAATATTTTAGGCTGGGAAGGTAGGTCAATGGTAGAGTGCTTATCCTGCATGCATGAGGCCCTGGGTTCGATTCCTCAGCACCACATAAGCAAAAAAAAGCCAAAAATGGCACTATGGCTCAAGTGGTAGAGTGCTCACCTTGAGCTGAAGAGCTGAGGGATAGTGCCAAGGCCCAGAGTTCAGGCCCCACGACTAACAAAAAGAAAAAAGAAAGAAAAGAATATTTTAGGTTTGGGAATGTGGCTTGTGGTAGAGTGCTTGCCTAGCATGTATGAAGCCCTGGGTTCAATTCCTCAGTATCTCAGTCTCCTGAGCAGCTAGAATTACAGGAGTGAGCCTGTTATAAATTTGCCAGTTGCTTCCCCTCATACTCCCATGAGTTAGAGCAGCTCAAGCACAGTTAACAGCAGCTTTCCTCAGGTGGCACGGCTCTGGCCCTCAGCAATCCCATGCCCTACCCTGTGAGCTCCTTCACTCCATCCCCACTGAGTTCTAGTCCCAGGACTAGCATACACACACAAAAGAAATTGGGTTCTGCAGTTTTGGGAGCTGAAAATCTGAGAGTCTGCATTTGTAAAGTTGGAGGCCCGGGGGGGGGGCCATGTTGTAGTTCTAGTACAAATCAAAAGGCCTCAGAACCAGGAAGAAGCTTATAAGGTAAGTTATAGGCTGAGTCCAAATCAGGAGACAAAAAGCCAGGCACCAGGGGCTCATTCCTATAATCCTAGCTACTCAAGCCACTAGCTTGAGCTAAAGAGGTCAGGGACAGGGGCTGGGAAGGTGGCTTAGTGGTAGAACACTTGCCTTGCATGCATGAGTCCCTGGGTTCTATTCCTCAGCACCACATACGCAAAAAGAAAAAAGCTGGAAATGGCGCTGTGGCTCAAGTGGTAGAGTGCTAGCCTTGAGCTGAAGAGCTGAGGGACAGCGCCCAGGCCCAGAGTTCAGGCCCCACGAC